TTAGGCAGATTCAGAATCTTTCATTCACATTTTTTTTTTAAATACCTTCTTCTTCTCTCTCTCAAGGCATGTTTTATTTTGTAAACAATAGTAATAATTACATTTTGATATTAAAAAAACTGTTTTTCCCAAAACGCAGTATCTTTGCCTTTGCTTTTATAAGTACTTTTTTCCCTATATGTGTATAAGTTTCACTAAGCAACTTGTCTCCCTTTTGCGTTGGGTAAAAAGAGACATCACACCACTGACCACGCACCACTTACCAAACTTTGCAGTACTAAATCTCTCAACTTTGATCAGTTTTGATGACTTTTGGCATTTATCATGAGATTCAAATCGAAACTTAATTAAAAAAATGGTCGTTAATTTATAACCTGCATAGAAGTTACACTTTTTTAATTGAATTACTAGGTCAAAATATAGGTTCTAAGTATATTACTATGTAATATATATTCTGATCAATTTATGTTTTAGAACTGAGTTAAGCAAGAAATATTCTGAAATTTCTTAAGATCTCTATCTAATTAAATTAGTTAGGTAAACTAGTTTGACCTAATAAGTAATAAACATTAATATTAAAATAATGTTTTTTTTTTTTAACTAAGAGGGGGTTTGGGCCTAGATTTTAATCTCCCCCTCTATGGTCCAAGACCAACCTTTGCTATATCTTATAACATGACGTAAAACATCTCTCTCACCGGGAATCGAACTAAAGAGCACATGGATCTAACCCCTGCACCTAACAACTAGTCCAACGCACCGTTGATAATATTAAATAATGTTATTTCGCCTAATATGGTTGTATGACATTAAATCTTTTTTAGGTGTAGTACTGTAAAAGAAAAAGTCTTAACATCAATCTTTATTTTGATGAATTAATTAGATGTGATATGTCTTAAAAGCAATAAAACCCCTACCAAAAAAAAAAAAGCAAACTTTTTTATTAGATGAAAATTATTGAGGTGACGATTATTATTTTTATGGTAAGTGGTAACCATTTGGTTTTTAGACATTTATAGTGTGGGATATATCTTTTGCCTTTCCAATATATATATGTCGTATTTTATTTATTTATTCAATGGATTTTGCATTATGATAAATTTAAGATATTTTAATTTCATTCTACGAAACCTGTTAATTGGGAATCTAAAAAATCTTCAATTTTGTAAGGACATTTATGTTTCTGTATCAAATTATTTTCATTTTTATTTTTTGGACAAGTATCGAAAAAATAAAACTTCCTTTAAAATGAAAGCAGAGAAAGACCAAAAAAGCATTGTGGAAGACACAATTAGTACAAATTACTGTACTTTCTTACCTGTTGCAATGTTGCAGGGACACATTCATTAATTGGAAATACCTAATTAACGTTATACTTCACTTAGACCATCTCCAATATATTTCCCTATTTTTAGTTCTATCTCTATAATAGAGGTAAGTTTTCTCTATTTTTATTCCAATGTGTTTCTCTATTTTTTCCTCTAAAAAGTTTAACTATATTTATAGGAAAAAAATAGAGATTCTCTATTCTCACCTCTATATATAGAGAAAAAAATAGAGATTTTTATTTTAGAAGTAAGAATAGAGGTGAGTTGGAGTAGATTTGCCTTTAAAATAGAGTTTCGATGCTTTTATTCGTTTTTTTTTTTTTGATAACCCAGTATCCAGACCACACAGTGATCTGACTAGCCTATTGGGTCTAAGCCCACGTCACAGGGATTTTTAAGCCTCCACTTAAGGGCTCCCTGATAAACTGGTGGTCTGGGGCACCTGAGCAAGTCCGCATGTAAATTTCCAGGTGGCCACAGGAGTGAGAGAGCGAAACTGTGTCTAGGGAAGATCGATCTCTGGCCTAGACCAACAGGACGATCTTTCTAACCAAACGAGAACCACTCGTCCACCACCATGTGGTTTGCTTTTATTCGCTTGAACCAATATTTTTAAATTCCATTTTTATATTTAAAATGACACGTGTGTCCACATGCGCACAGAGCACGCACTCTTTGCATTGCACTTGCACGTGAGGTGTCCGTACTATGACGGTCCATCTACATAATTTTCCTTCTCAATTAATTAAGCAAATATTAGGGTCTGACTGGTGAACGTTTAGAAGAAGAAATAATTCTTCCCATTTCTTCTGGACCCACATCTTTTTGTTTTTGTTTTTGTTTTTTTTTTTTTTTTTTTATCTTTTTGTTTTTGTTGTAAAAGAAATTTTTTTTTTCTAGTAGAAAACTGTATTCTCTAAAATACTGAAGGTATAAATTTTTCCGACTCCTTCCAATTATTTTTCTTCTCTCTACGCACCAGTCACAGCCTAGTGTTTTACAACATTTAGTATATAATTATTGTAAGTTATACACTGTAGTAGAGACTAGAGAGCACGAACTACAATCTTTCTATGGTTTTTTTTTTTAAATCTATTTCTAGGGATTTTTTTTTTAATAATAGTTATCAAAGTTTTGCCGAAATGTTTGATTAATTACGAGGATGAACAAAAAATTTTGGTAAAGAGTTTCTCGCAAACCATCTCAGTTAAAGGTTAAAGCACCAAAACCAAATGATTAAGTGGTCATGGTCCACATGTAATATGTTACACACAATAAAAATTATTTTATAAATTGTGACGAATCTACTTCTTTGATTATACAATCCAAAGTAACTATACGTCTATACGTCACACAACACGTCGGTTTTTTTTTTACAACACTTCGGTTACATGAAGTTTAGTGAGTTAAAGTCTTTGAAACCCTTGATGTTTAGAGAATTTTTATTCTTCTTTTTGTTGTCTTATACTCCCTTCGTTCACAAAAAATATCTTTTTTAAAAATTTGTTTTTGTTTTTTAAAAATGTTGTTTTGTAGTTTTAATAGTTTTTAATATGTACGAAAAACACTTTTTATAAAACAAAATGAATAGTTTTTTTTACGTACTGTAATTTTCTCATTTATTTCTTTTCGATATGTAACTAGTGGACTCCAAAAGGTTATTGTAAGAATAATAATAATAATTTTGATGCTTCCATACGGCGATAAATTCAATGGTTGGTTAGTTGATAGTTTTCTATAATTATTAACAGTTAGAATTTGATTATTATTATTGGGAAAAAACCCGAAAAATACCCCATCTATTTTTAATTTGGACGTTTAATACCTAACTTTTTTTTGTTGGAAGAAAAATACCTTCTTTAATTATAATTGGTCGAAAAATACTTTATTTTTATATTATTGGTAAATTCAAACCTCTGATTTAACGGTCGTTAACGGACGTTATGGTATCAGTAAACGACGTTATATTATAACAAAACAAATAGCCGAAAAATGCTTCATCTATTTATTTTTTGATTTTTAATACCCAAACTTTTTGGTTGGAAGAAAAATACCTCATTTAAATATATTTTTGTCTAAAAATACCTCATTTTTGAATTTTAGTATATACAATATTTATACAAACATTTACAAATATATTACTTGATCTAATGGTAACACATATGATTTTTAACCCTCATAGAACTTCTTTTGATCTCCTATTTTCTTTAATGAATGACATACAAATTTAAATACATCATTTGCTTCACTCCTACAAATTTAAATACATCATTTTTCATTCCTAAAGGCATCGTTGGAGTTAGAAGGGTTTTGCAACTAACAAATGAGAGATTCTGCAAATTTAAATACATCATTTTGATGATGGAATGTAACGATTCTGCAACTAACAAATGAGAGATTGTGACAAAGATGACGACGACGATAGATTTGTCATTTTTGTGGTCGTGGAGTAGCATAGTTGCGGAAGTGGAGAAGAATTTAGGTAAAAGTGGAGAGATGAAAGAAATGGTTCGAGAAAGATTGAGTTTTGATCGTATTAACAAAGTAATATTGAGTTTTGATCACACCAATATATTTGTAAAATTTTGAAAATAAATTGTATATATCTATTTATATAGACAGGGTTATAACGTTGTTAAATGTTTCTGTAATATTGTTAACGATTGTTAAGTCGCATACTTGAATCCACTAATAATTTAAAATGAAGTATTTTTAGACAAAGATATTTTACATGAGGTATTTTTCTTCTAACCAAAAAGTTGGGGTATTAAAATTCCAAAAATAATTAGATTGAGTATTTTTCGGCTATTTTTCTGTTATAATTTAACGTCGTTTACTGATATTGTTATGTCCGTTAACGACCGTTAAATCAGATGTTTGAATCTACCAACAATTTAAAAATAAGGTATTTTTCGACCAATTATAATTAAAGAAGGTATTTTTCTTCCAATAAAAAAAGTTAGGTATTAAACGTCCAAATAAAAAATAGATGAGGTATTTTTCGGGTTTTTTCCCTATTATTATTTGTTTTTTTACAGCGAATACGATTGAATTATTGAGAAAAGGAAATTTAACGGAAATACCACCTCTACCCTCATTCATCATTTGTCTCATAGTCCAGGTGTCCGTTGCTCAACGGTTAATTCTGGTACTTTGGGCGGTGATTTTGATGTATTAAAAAGAAGTCGAGAACCAACGACAAAAGTTTCAATTATTATTATTATCTTTAGGATTCTCTAGCAGTAAAAGTTAGCATTAATATTATTATCAGTGTTGTTTTCAAAAAAAAAAAAAAAAAAAAATTATTATCAGTGTTATTGTATTATTGAAAACCATCATTTGACCAAAATTAATTAAACGCGTTGTTTTCATCAGAGAATAAAATTTGAAGATTATAAATATTTTAAACTTTTCACAAATAGGATACCCAATACCGAAGATTCTTTCCTTTTCCATATTAAAAATGTCTAAAAATAGTTATTGGTTATTTATACAGTAATTTACAACTAAACCCATACTCATAAATAAAAATAAAATATTGCAAAACAGCTGTAACTTGACTGTTTCGGAAAATCTCATTTCACATGCTTCATCTCCCCAATTTCATTTCCATATTTTTTATTTTTTCTTCTAACATTCACTTTATACTCTCTTTATTTATTTTTATTTTCCTTTGCTCTAACCCCTTTTTCTAACTCTATATAACCCCCTCACAAATCCATAATTCACCTCTTCCCCTTGGCTCTAGAACCAATCACTCTCTCTTCTTTAGCGTTTTTATATTGTCTTCCTCGTTTTCTCCTACCTTTTCTATTTTCTCTTTTCAGTTTTCTCTAGAAAAAAAAAAACAATAATCAGTGTGTTTGATAATATTTGATGTCGCAGAACTCTTGTGGATCTTGATGTTCAAACATTCATGTCTCCGGTGATTAGTGAAATCCTTAGATCTGGTTTAACTATAGACTCGTCTCTTAGACGCAGGACCCATCTTGTTCAATCTTTCTCCGTCGTCTTTCTCTACTGGTTCTATGTTTTCTCATAAATCACCTCTCCTTTAGCCCTTTATTATTATATATTCTATAACCATAATAATATATAAAAAACTATATACTATATAATCTTTCATATTGATATTTACATAATAAACTTTGGGTCCTGCGTCTTAATTTTCTGTGTGTGTGTTTTTAAATATGAATAATAAAACTGAAATGGGATCGTCGACAAGTGGAAATTGCTCGTCGGTTTCAACCACCGGTTTAGCTAACTCCGGTTCGGAATCTGATCTCCGGCAACGAGATCTAATCGACGAGCGGAAGCGAAAGCGGAAACAGTCGAATAGAGAATCTGCGAGGAGGTCGAGGATGAGGAAGCAGAAGCATTTGGATGATCTCACTGCTCAGGTGACGCATCTACGTAAAGAAAACGCTCAGATCGTCGCCGGAATCGCCGTCACGACGCAGCACTACGTCACAATCGAGACGGAAAACGACATTCTCAGAGCTCAGGTTCTTGAGCTCAACCACCGTCTCCAATCTCTTAACGAGATCGTCGATTTCGTGGAATCATCGTCTTCAGGATTCGGTATGGAGACCGGTCAAGGAATGATCGACGGTGGATTTTACGACGGAGTGATGAATCCTATGAATTTAGGGTTTTATAATCAACCAATCATGGCTTCTGCTTCTACTGCTGGTGATGTTTTCAACTGTTAGAAAATTTCACATCATTATCATCGTGAGTGAGACGAATTATCGCACCAGGGGTAAAATTGTAATTTTCTTATAAATTATGTTATGATGCTCTGTTTTTGTTTTATAAGATCATTAATTAGTGTTTAAACTGATTGTAAAATGATGGACAGTGTAAGAAATGTGTTATCATGGAGATGGTGATGTGAGTTTGGTACAAATATTTTAAGACCTTTTTAAAAATATATATATTTATTAAAAGAGAAGAAATATTATTTTGTCATTTTCTTAGAGTTTTCTGTTTCCTTATTTGGGAGTAACTGTTGCTCTTATTAGAAATATGAGATTTTGGCTATTAGTGAAATAAATGAAAATAATGTGAAAGCTCGTGGACGGTTTTTGTAGATGGTGGTGGTCCATTTAAATATACAAAATGGTGTGTTTGTGATCATTGTGTTAGAGACGATATTGTCCCGATGTGATGAATAATGATGCATTTTGGTACTTACAACAAAATGAGTAATTATCATGGGTCACTCGAGTTTTTTCCTTTTTCAAGAATCTTACGTACATGGCACATGATTTCACTATATCAATAATTTCGTTTCTTTATTCCTTTAAATATCTACATGTCAATTTTATGATCTCAGATTCCGATCAATTCAAATTATGTAGGCTGCTAGTATCTTATTTATGTAATCTAGTTATATTGACACTATACTAGTTACAAACTCAAATTATGATTTGTACTTTTCAAAATTGCTAACGCTTTTGTTTTGGGCGATAATTTGTTTTTCTTTGAGATTAGATTAATTGTTAAAAACTTAAAATACTTATTTGATTTATCACTTATTATTGATATAAACTTTTAATAATTTGTATTTGGATTAATAAACTATAAGTTGTACTCTGTATTGAAACTAAAAATACAAGTACTAAAATTTAAACTAAACTAACTTCACGCCGAATAATTCCGTACTAAAATCAAACTAATTTGGAATATACAAAAATGATAGATATTTTTCTTTTATCAATTTAACTATTATTAAAAATCACATTGAAAAACTTGTACATTAGTTCACAAAACCTCATTCCCTAAACCTTTCATGAATTGGATAAAACGAAATCGTTTTTTTCTTTCTAAAATAGTTCATTATTATATATGAGAAAACTTATGTGATTTTAGTTTTTGAAATTTTTAAAACTTACATTCATTTTCATATCCAAGAAATCTTACACCAAAGTACAGATTAATCTTCGAACTCTAAAAAAAAAAAAAAAAAAAAAAAAAAAAAAAAAAAATCTTCGAACTCTATAAAACACTGAATATTTGACTAAATAAGGCGGCATTCACAGTTTCCACCAACAGATTTTTCAACTGCGTAGTACCAGATTTTTCAACTAGTGCCAAAGTTTACTATTCTCGAATGGCAATAATTTATTCGTAGTCGTACGGTGTTTAATTACAATGTTGACATTTGATGAGATAATTTGACAAACAAATGACCCTCAATGATCGTCAGGCACCGAAACAATACTTTATATTAACTTTTACAAATCTACCAAGTAAATAGGCGTAAGTGCATGGTCACTGACGAAATGATTAAACCATAAACAAAAAAATTCACTTTCCAAATTTTGAAACTCATATATGTTCAATGAATCCATATACATCTTGTTGATTAGTGTTCTTGTCCTTATTTGCTTGATGCAAATAATATTATATTATGTACTCTGTGAAAGGAATAAACAAATGGGGGCAAGTTCGTGTCTCTGACATAGCGTACGAATAAAACTATACTTCAACTCTTCAAGGTAAATAATACGTGGTGTATATTACTTTGTCTCCACCACAATTTGTTATCTTCAATTTCCTCTTTTTATATCCTCGATCCGAATAATACACGTACGAAAGCTTGATTAGAATCGATTCTTTAGATAGTTGCACCATTCGCGCGCTTCTTAATTAATAATTTTGGCGTCAAATTCATTTATTTACGATTATATTCGTGTTAACTCTATCTTTTGATTTTTGAATCACATACAATGATACAAGTTCGTAATTTCGTTAACACATTTATTTACGATTATATTCGTGTTAACTCTATCTTTAAGATTGAGTTTTACCTCTATTGATTAGAAGAGGTTGTATATAGAATTGAGAAAGAAGAAACTCACGAGTAGAAAAATTGCTACTGTTCTGTTAAGACAAGCCATAATACATCTCACAAGCAATGTTGAGTCCATAGACATCACATTACCAAGAACTCATTTCAAGAGAATTTTGATTTCATAATTGCCTTATTGATGTTTAATCATCATGGTGGGCGTTGGATCTCCATTGATGAAGCCTCTGACTAGCCAAGAATGACTCAAACTGAGTGATTGAATCTTCCAAAGAAAATGTTTTTTGTTCGTGAATTCGAGAAGACACATGAACATGTTGTTAGATTTTTTAATTAGTGTATATATGGTTGGAAAACAAAAACATATGTTTGTGGAAAAGGATAAGTCATAATCTAAAGAAAATAATACAAACACTTTTGTTAAGCGATTCTAAGTTGTGGTATGGTTTATGCGGATCGTTTACTTAGGTAAAATTACCGCCAATTAGACAGGTCTAGATAGGTGTTTCAGACATTTAATAGTTTTTAAAAAATTTGTCGAACTGACGTCGTTTTGAGGCTTTTAATTTTATCTCTTCAAAACTACGTCGTTGGAGAACGACATGAGAAAATGGGAAAAAAAAATGGCTTCGATAGAAAATAAAAAAATCGTCGACGAAATTCATCTTCTTAGATTTTGACATTCTCAGAGGGCGATTTTTGACTGCTTCTCAATATGTGCTTCTGATCCTCGCCGGCGAAAGTAATTACTGCTTCTGACTCGGCGGTATCTTCTCACGCCATTACCGGTAAATCTCGTTTTTATATTTCGTTAGGTTTAGTTTTAGAGAATCTGTTTCTTGATCGATTTTGCATCTTTAGAAGGTTTATTTCCATGATTCGCTGTTTTCTCAGACTTTGTTTTTCTTTTGTTTCATGTGATGCAGAAAAATTTGGCAGCTTGTATGTTTTTGTTCTTGTTCGACCTCATGGTGATGAACATTTTGTATTGAGCAGCCAAGAATTGATCGTTTTGTCTCCCATGTCAGATATCAAAAGTTTGTCTTGAGCTATGAGCACAGCGACCAGGCCTTCGTCTTCAGCGACAACCTCTGTCATCTTAGAAAACCCTGTTTCTCAATCACAGCCAACAGAGAGATTAGTGCTTCGGTTGAACAGGAAGAAGAAGAAAGTTTCATGGCAAGACGGGACCGTTGGACAACGAGTTTATGCAGAAGAAGAGTTCAAAGAAATGTTGTATCTTTCATAAACAAAAGCCCTTTGATGAGGATGACAGCGAAGAAGAAGAAGAAGAAGAAGATAACCACCATCACCATCACCATGAACACTCCGAATCTGGTGAGGCCTCGTCTTCTAACGATTCTAAAAGCAGTTGACTAATTCACCCGGTTTTCGCATCACTATATAATAGAAGCCTTTTAAATGATCTATTCAAGAACAATTGCAATGTTGACATCAACCTCCTTGAAGCTCTGTTGAAGGAATCACAAAGTTGGTTTAGTAAGGAGATAGTTCAGTCATTATATGAACTGAAAGTTTCATAATGTAATCAAAATATCTCATTTAGTATCCCATATAAAGATTCAACCAACTTTACTGTTTTTTCTCAAATGACATGGATCTTTGATTGTCTTTGTTGGATGATAAAATTTGACAAAGAAAATCACTTTCAAGGATCGTCAGGTATCTACAAAGAAAAATATAGGTGTAAGTGGTGGTCATGGATGAAATGATTAACTTATAAACGAAAATCACTTTCCAATATATATATATATGTTCAATGAATCGATATACATATAGTGTGTTGGTTAGTGATCTTGTCCTTATTTGGCTTGTTGCAAATATACTCTGTCAATGGAATAAAAAGTTGTACTCGTGACTCTGACTTAGCGTAAGAATAAAACTTTTCTTCAGGGCAATAATATGTGGACGAGTATATATATATATATATCTCCACCACTATTTTTACAATCGATCCGAATAATACACGTACGAAAGCTTCATCAGAATCAATTCTTTTACATAGTTGCTCCATTATTTTGTTTTTGTGTTGTTCTTCTTTTTGGCATCCATCATTTTTTTTTTTTTGAAAAAAAACCATCATTTTTATTAGCCGAAATAAATGTTTGGATGGGCCAAACTGCCAAAAAGACAATCGAAGGAACAGTCGCTGCCAAATATTATACTCTGCAAAGGTTGTTGAGCGATTAATTGGTCTGGTCCAAGCTTTGGTTATAATGGGCCCTAAAGAAAGCCCAATCTTTAAATACTAATTATGACAAATTAATAATCAAATCTCTTGATGAGACAAAAAGATAGAAAAAAACATCACCTAGATTGGCAGATTGGGACTCCCATCCATAGGTATGATCTCATTCTCATACCACAAAAAATCGTATTTGTTTTACAAAAGACTGATTAAAAAGAATTAGAATTTAAAAGTAGGTTTTCATTAATTAACTTAATAGTAAATTAATAACAATTAAATAATTCGTAATACAAAACATTTTAAAACAATTCGAATCACACAAAGTTACAAGCATGAGCGCGCGTGAGTCTGAAATTAAATTGGTCTAACCTAAGTTGCTGACAAGTTGTGGCATTTATACTTGTAAGTACATATAACATTCATTAATGTAAAAAAAAAAAACATTGATTAATGTTATTTAATTCTTACACTAAATTATCGCCTAACTGAGGAGAGTGGGTGAACGAATATATTACTACTTGATGTGAGAACTTGTTAAAAAAATATTGCCATTAATTTTTTATTTTATTTGAGTGTTGACAAAAAGAAGTAGTATTTATATAAGTAATTTAAATAAAATATATGAGAGGTATAAAAGTTTTTGGCTTTTGCGGCTAATGGAGAAACAGTAACACGTAGAGCGCACTCCCCGTGGTCCTGAAAGCCCACCAACCTCTCTTAATCACTAAACCCAGATTTCTAACATAAATTAATTACCAAACTTAGAAATGGTAATTAAGTTAATTCTAATTAGAAATTGAAATTCTCTATCTCTCTTTGATGTTTTTTTGTCCAACATTTTAGAGTATTTTATTTACATCATTCATAATGTTGTTGATTCTGAAATAGTGAAATATAGACCAAACTTTACGAAAAAGCAAAAGTATAAAAAAATAAATTTAAAGAAAAAGTTAAAAATAAAATGAAAAAGGAAGAAAAAAGAAAAAGTGAGGAACGTGGCACAATTCCCCGTGCGTGTTTCTTCAACCCCAGACGCAAAACGCAGACGCACATCAAACAAAAAACTGCTTCCTCTCTCTTCCCATCATCGTCTCTTTCTCTTTCTCTCGGATCGATTTTGGGTTGTGCCGATCAACGGCTAATCTCCGCCGTTTAATTTCATCGTCGGAGGAGGATCTATCTCCGTGTACGTATGCCCTTCCTTATACGCGTTTCGTGTTTTGATTCGCCGAAACCTTTCGTTGGTCTGGTGAGAGCCCATCGATGTTCTTAAATCTAATCTAGATTCTTTGGATTATCCTGTGATGATGATACGAAATCACTTACAACTTTTAGGTTGATTTCTGCGTTACTTGTGTGTATGTGTTAGATCATTTTTCTGAGGAATATTCGTGTTTTCTGGTCTTGACTCAGTTCTTCAGGTCCCGTATTTTCGAGATGTGTTTCCCTTTAGTCAAAATTTCTGAGGATTTCACTGGAATCATCTCTTTGTATATTCTTCTTTTTTTTAAGAATTTCAGATCTTTTTGGTTTCTCACCATTTTCGATTTTGAAGTGAGTCTTATATTTTTTTCCTGATGTGCTTACTGCAGGCTTACGATAGGAAGATAAGTGGCTGTTACTGTGTGAGGACGGACTTGCAAATTTGTTTGGAAGTTGTGTTAAGTTAAGCAGAGGATTGGAGATTAGCCTGATAGAGAATAGTTTCTTGATGGGTTCAGTTTGTTGTGTAGCTGTGAAAGACAGAAAGGTTCCTCCTAGTAGTGGACCTGCGAGTGCATCTGTTCATCGGAATTCAGCATGTTCGCCACAATGGAGTTTTCGACGTGACAATAGGAGGCGAGTGGCTGATGAGATTGAGGGTTCACCTTATTACAGTCCATATGTTGCAAGTAGAGGTATTAGTATGGATAAGATGTCATTAGGCTCTGAAAGAGGAACTTTATCTGAGGGAGGAACCCCTCCTGATGGGCATTTAGGGACTCCTGCTTCTCATAAATCAGCCACTCCAGAAATGAGCACAAATTCTATGGTTCAACCTTCTTCAGGTAATTCTTTTGAGACGACAACTATTGGGAGCTTATCTTACTCTTTGTTTTGAGTCGGTTTAGTTCTTTCCTTGTATCTATTCCACCAACATGATCGAAGATGGAAAAGCTTTCTTTGTGGGATTATATTCATTCTTTAGTATAAGTAAAGCTTGCTAGTTTTCATCATCTCTTCTCCGTGTTGACTAGATATAGTTGACATAGGGATTTTAAGTAGAATGTTATTGACTATATTACTCCCGTCACCTAGAACCATGCTATCGTAATGAATTAAGCTTGCTTATTGTATTCTTGCTGTGTCTTATGTTATGCTTTTCTGTGTGGCAGGTTCATCCTTGGCAAGCAGTGATCTCATTGAGGTGAGACGACCGACTTGACTTTAGTTTGAACTTACGAGTTTTGGTTTTATCTGTCATGTGTTTTTAGCTTAAATCACTGTTTGCTTCCTTACAATTTGAGGTTGATAGTACTGGGCTTTCTCTTCTATTTGTGTTCCTCCTATAGTAGCAATATTTTTTTCCCTTCAGCGTATCTTTAACCTTTTTTGGATCTTCATTGTTTCAGGTGAAGAACTTAATTGACTCACCTGGAAATGTCCCGTCAGCTTTGCCGAAGCCTTTGTTCTCCACACCTTCTCTTCCCAATCCAGTCGGTGATCTTTCATCGGCTCACACTCGTTTGCTTCCTCCTAAATCCACACCATCAAGACGGGCTCGGCGTTCACCTGGGCATCAGTTGTGTAGGCAGGTTTCTGATAGTCAAATTTTAGGACTGAAATCCCCAAATAATAATTACTCGATCTCAGAAGGAAGGTCGTCCTTTGTGCTTTCAACCTGTAGCAATGACTTCGCCACTGGATCCCAGTACGCATCTTCTGAAGGTGGCTGGTCTATGAACACTTTTTCTGAGCTCGTGGCGTATTCTCAAAGGGAGAGATGGTCCTTTGATAGCGAACATTTAGGTTCTGGCAGACGGAAGCTAAGTGGTGGTAGCAGCAGATTCTCCTTCTCCCCTTCCGTTGTTGATCAGCAGATTTGTGGAGCTTGCTCAAAGTTACTAACCGAGAGGTCTTCTATTGCCAATTTCGAGCTCCCAATCGCTGCTGTTCTTGCGTGTGGCCATGTTTACCACGCAGAGTGCTTAGAGACCATGACTACCGAGATAGAGAAGTACGATCCTGCTTGTCCCATATGCACGATTGGGGAGAAACGGGTAGCGAAAATAACAAGGAAAGCCCTTAAAGCGGAGGCGGAAGCAAAGGCAAAGCAGTACAAAAGATGTAAAAACCGTGTGGTAGATAGTTATGGTGAGAGTGAATGCGATGAGTTTGTGTTCCAGAAAATGGAGAAACGAGAAGGCAAAGCTCTTAAGCTGGAAGCTAGTTGCAGTAGCAAGAGCTCGTCTAATAAGTCATTCTTGAAATGGCACTTTGCTTCTATCAGCTCCAAGTGGAATAAACCCTCGTCCAAAGACTCTGCATTGAAGAAGGGGTTCTGGTCTAGACATCGTAATAACCAGTCTTCTTCAAGCATAGAGGTAAAGATCCATACACTGAAATTTATTAAATCATGATTTGCTAGAGAAATGAAAGAGTCTTGTAAATAACCAATAATACACTTTTCAGGGACTTAATCAGACATCTCAGCTATGATGAAACCCCCCTGATCTGGATCAGAGCGCATGTGGGTTATTTAGGAAAGCTTTGTATAAAACAGATATTAAGCTTCAGGTTCAGCTTTAGCCTTTAGAGCTGTGTTTAAACCATTTTTTGGATATTTTGTGTGTTTCAGTGTAACCTGTGGGGATAATTATTAGTAATGAAACAAACTTCTCGTTTTAGAGAGATTTGAGAATTTCCAGCCATTTACATCAAGTTGTGTCGTTTTATACAGCCATCTCCAGTTTTCCAGAAGTTTCGGAAGAACTCAACATCTGCTCTAATTCTTGTAACAGATAAAAGGGAATTAGATCAAATTTGTTTTTATTGGTCACACTTGAAAGTATTGTTTATACCACCTTGAAGAGTTTACACAAAACGTTACAATATTGGCTTACCAAAGTGTACATAAGGCTCAATTTTCATATACAAATGTAAAGTCTAACACCTACAGTTTTCACAAAATCTATCCTTTATATATGCCACAACAAATATTACAGATATACATATTGTATCTTTATATAACCCCTATCTATAAAAATGCCAAGAGCGCATTTTCTTGCGCTTTAAGAATCATACTCCCCAACCAACGCATTGCCAGTTCTTAAGCTTGTGAAAAGCTCAGAAACCTTTTAGACAACAAAGTCGTGTAATTGATGGGGATTAGAATATCTGCCATCTTGTTGGTTTCCAAGGCCAACGTATCGATTGTAATCATCGATACCAAACCCATGATAGTTCATCAAGCTGTCGTAATCTCCA